TGTCATGATCTTCAGATTTTTGTTTTTTTGAAGAAACTGTGCTATGCGTTTGTGGACCAGAGCCAAATATATTTATCACACGTCCGAGCGGTCCCTCTTGATGGTTGGTGCAGATACATAAGTCTGCGACCGATGCAATTGAATGAATGGCAGGGTGATTCTTCCAAAGGAAAAAAGAAACATATAGAATGCATCATAGCAATTACTGAATGGACAGTATGGGATGGGCATAGGATGTAGAATGTGATATGCAAGACTAGAATAAGAAAAGGAGGAGCTTTGTTGCAGGCTCAAACTATTTTCTGAGCTTTTTTTTTTGAGGGAAGGATTTTCTGAGCTTTTTTTTTTGAGGGAAGGATTTTCTGAGCTTTGTTTAACTGTGGTGAAAATTGCTTGCAGCCCAACAGATGTGAACATCATGCAGCCTTCTCGAGTTGCTGATTTCGGGGCACTCGCGCACTCTGCTGGATTCAGAATAGAAGATCTTGCTAATTTCAGTACAAGTATGTCACTCTTTTCTCAATCAATTGCGCTAGAAACTTGCCTCCAGTGATTTTAACTACGGATCCTGTACACTTTTCTGCTTGTAAAAAAAATTACAACTCCATATAGATTTCAGTGAGTAGCACCGTCGAGGTTCATGATTACTAAAGCTTACTGGTTTCTCCTTTGTTTGCTGATGTTCAGATAATTTATTCAATCTGAAGCCAAATACACATGCATATACCAGTGAACCCCTTCAGTTTGGAAATTACGGAAAGGTACCAGTGACAAGTCAGAGCCCCAATTATTAAGTGTTATTCCATCTACATGAGGAATTGATGCAGTTTTTGCACCCCAAATTGCAGTCCATTTCTCCGACTGATCTAGCTACTACGGCGGCGGCAGCAGCAGCAGTAACAGCAGTTGATCCTCAGGCACTACTACAGCAAAAGGGAGCGCAACCAAATCTAGTAGCTTTAAGAACTCATAACAATGATAACTGGGGAGAGTCAAGTATGGCTGATACAAGTCCTAGGACTGATACATCAACGGATCCGGATATAGACATTGATGAGCGCAACCAAATGGTACCTACTATTCTCAGCTCAATTTTTTGTCAGACTGTCTCATTGTGATTGCGCACTCGATATTGAACTTTTCATACTCTCAGGTTTTGGAGATCAAAATTTTGTTTCCAAAATGTTTCTTTCCTTGCAATTAAAGAGCTGTTTGAATTCCCTAAAAGATCTTTGAAATATCAGTATTATGCACGTGTACACATGGCTTGAGATCTTGAATGATTTGTTAGTGTTAAGGTCCTTTGGTAGTGCCAGTTAGATACCTTGTTCCTGTTTTCAGTTTCCTATCCTTTTGTTTGAGTCTGTTTGGACATTTGCGTCATTTCGCCATGCTTCTTAATAATATGTATTCGACAGAGGAAAATGGTCCTATGTTGTATCCAGGATGGTGTCATATCTTAATGCTATTTCAAGTAGTAGCACCATTATCTTCCCACATAACAGCCTAGTTGCCTATAACTCATTGAATTTAATTCTTATTAACACAATTGCTGAAAAATACTGTTGCGGTAGTTTTTTTCCCCTCAGTTCTCTTTATGCTTATTGTTTTAGTATGAGTGATCAGCTTATACCGAAGCATATTGGTTTAATGATTATCTGCTTAACAGTTTGAACAAGGACAGCTTGCTGCCCCCACGGCTTCTGATTCTAGTGACAAATCGAGGGACAAATTAGATCATAAGGTACAGTTGCCACTACATATCTGATGCTTTGATCACATGATATCCATTGTTTAAAGATAAGTTTCGTTGCCAACAGTCACTTCGCCGTCTTGCCCAAAACCGTGAAGCTGCTAGGAAAAGCCGTTTAAGAAAGAAGGTGAGCCTGTATATTCTTAAAATGTTCACTCATATCAGATTCCATTTGTAATGTGCTCACATACTGTGGTAGCATGGTAGATCGTTTAAAAAGTGTATGAGGTATCATTTCATCCTGAAGCTTTAGTACTACTGTAGCATGGATTTGTGCTAGGCAATCTTTGTGAGCCTAATACATGATTTTGCTTCAGTGGTAGATTTGGTTGGCAAACTTTATTGTTATCATCTTAACCCTGCCTATTTCACCATTTGGCTTTGTCAGGCATATATCCAAAACCTGGAGAGTAGTAGATTGAAACTTACTCAACTAGAGCAAGAGCTTCAGCGTGCTCGTCAACAGGTATATGCTCTACATTTCCATACAAGATTCATCGGAAATTTCTTGTGTTAAGCCGTTAAACATCCATCCCTTTTGTTTGACTGATGTATACTTCTCCAGGGCATATTTATTTCATCTTCAGGGGATCAGTCTCAGTCAGCGGGTGGAAATGGTAATATTCTCTAATTATTAGATTGGTATCAGCAGTACTATACTGTGTACTGTATTTTGTTATGGGGCTTTTGTTTGCCCTTTACCTGAGTGCTCCTTAGAATGTGGTAGATAAAATAAGCTAGATACAACCACAAGATGCAATTATCAACTGATTTGTTGGCGAGTAGTACCATTCTTTTTCTGCACCCGTATTCGGGCTTTCAACATATAGATACTTCCGCTGATGCCTAGTACTTGTTAGTTGTTATATCTTACACAGTAACAGTAACAAGTATTGTATCTTGTAAAGATTACTAGGTTACATACATTATCCTTGGCCTTTGGTGAAGCTCGATTTTTGTGCCATTATTCTGTCAGTGCCTTTTATGTTAATGTTCTATAATTTGTAGGAGCTGTGGCATTTGACATGGAGTATGCACGATGGTTGGAGGAACATAACAAGCATATAAATGAGTTGAGGGCTGCAGCCAATGCACATGCTGGTGATGATGATCTTCGGAAAATTGTTGATAGCATCATGGCACAGTATGATGAATTTTTCAGGCTCAAGGGTGTAGCAGCCAAAGCAGATGTTTTCCATGTGCTGTCGGGAATGTGGAAGACCCCTGCTGAGAGGTGCTTCATGTGGTTAGGTGGCTTCAGATCATCCGAGCTCCTTAAGGTACCAGTGTGATATGATTTATGTTACAGACACAATTAAATTCCTGATCCAGGGCCCAACTTAGTGAGTAGTTTTCTTTCCGCAGCCCTTATGAGCATGTCAAGATGATTAACTTGTGTTCAATATGTAGTTACCATGTCCGTCTATACTTTAATACCAATATTTCTGTTGCAGTTACTGGCAGGTCAACTAGAACCTCTTACTGAGCAGCAGCTTACTGGCATATGCAACCTCCAACAATCTTCTCAACAAGCTGAGGATGCTCTTTCTCAAGGTATGGAGGCACTACAACAGTCGCTTGCAGAAACCCTGTCATCTGGATCCCTGGGCCCTGCAGGATCTTCCGGTAATGTTGCAAGCTACATGGGGCAGATGGCAATGGCCATGGGGAAACTTGGCACCCTAGAAAACTTCCTCCGACAGGTAACCTACACAAACCGTGCAGTCGCTCTTTCCTCTGCTTAAGTTGTTGCCATATTGCCTGAGGTGTTTTGGGCAGACTATTTGGGGAGTTAGAATATTGTGATATGCCCTGGTCCTTATTTTGGAGAATAGAATCTGAGCCTAGGGTGGTGCGGGGTTGCGTGTTCTCACTACTCAGATCGAGTTCTTAGCTCGAATTGCCCCTTTTCCACTTCATTACTAAAACATGCGATTCCTTCATAGCACGCTCCATTTTTTTTTGCATTTTTTTAATTCTGGAGAATAAATTTAGGAGCTTCCAAATGTTACTGAGCTTTCAGCTGCACATTTTCACTTGAACTGATGCATCATGGAATAAGGGGGGAAAGCAAGAAAACATAGAAAAAGAAATATTAAATTTGTATTCAACTGGTGATGAATTGTTCAACAATGTTTTATCTGCAGGCTGATAATCTGCGGCTACAAACCCTTCAGCAGATGCAACGCATATTAACCACTCGCCAGTCTGCACGAGCTCTGCTTGCAATAAGCGACTACTTCTCTCGGCTACGCGCTTTGAGTTCACTTTGGCTTGCCCGTCCACGGGAATAAATTGAATCGATTCATAAATAGCATAATAATATTAGGTACTGCATCTCGAGTGTTGCATTAGCCAGCCCCATAGGAATTCAGGTATTCCCTACTCCCTAGATTCTTCACAATGTTCTTGTATTGGCGAGAAGTTTGGATCAGAATCATGTGATGAATGTTTACAGCAAATGTTCAGTGGATATTGCTGCCTGTAGATGACATCAGATTATCAACTATCGAACAAGTTCGTACCATTTTTGAAAACATTGGGGATGTACATACTTGCAGAATAGCTTGAGATCTGATGATGTGATGTGCTTGTGGACTTGTGGTGTACAATCGCCTAAATAAACCATACAGCCTGATGAGGTTACATGTTCAGATTCATAAACATCTCGACATCGGTTCTGTTCTTTCGAAGAAATGCCAAGTTACTTAATGGATCATTTTTTTTTGAAATGGAACAGTATATTCCACTCACAGTGGACCAGCATGAATGCCGTCCAGGAGTACCCTTACACCATCAGGAAGCCCTTCAGGCCACGGTAGCCTGGGCTTCATGGATCTGAACATGTTTAAAAAGAAGTGTGATCCTCCTCATTCCCCTTTTAGTGGGCATGCATCATGCTTATTATGGTAGAAAATTTGACCATTCAAGGTATCAGCGTGATATGGCGAAACTCCCAAAGCTTATTTGACATCATGATTTGGCAAAGCTTGAGCAAATTTGCAATTTCCCCAATCAGAAATGTGATTTTTATATTCGCAAGAAAATAAATGAAGTGCCTTGTATGCATAATTAACTTTACAATTTCACCTATGTCCGAATCTGGATATAAACGAGGCAGATTTGTATGTACAAGGAAGCTACACATGGAGCAGACGGCGTTCACCTTTAGGTGCAATTTGTCCTTGAACCAGATGGGATAGTGGTACCGTCAGTGGGGCAATGAGACCAGCCGTGGAACACGCAGTTAAGCAGCAGCAGCAGCAGCCTCACCACGCTGTACAGGTGCTCGGAGGGAAGCCCTGTAGACGGCGTCCGACTTGTCAAGGCCGTCGAAGAGGTATCCGAAAGGCGGTGTCCTGACGTATCTTCCTGCACCGGGCACGGCGTTCAGATTGCCATCCTCCCACACCACTCGCCCTCTTGAGATGGTCACCTCTACCATTCCCTACACCAATCAGACAGAAACGATCACAGGCTGGATCTGGATTGTTATGGCATATTAACAGTTGTGAGCTGCGAAGAGCCAACCTTTCCTTTCCTGCCCTCGTACACGTTCGTGTCGGACCTCGTATGGTGTGTGCGCGTGCCCATTGCGAAGCTCCTCTTGGGGTTCAGGACGATGATGTCTGCATCAGATCCCTCGAGGATTGCTCCTTTTCGCGGGTATATGTTGAAGATCTTGGCACTGAAAAGATTAGAGAGTAGTGTGCATCATTATACTTTAAAACTGTTTGCTTCTTGTTTTGTTTTTCTGATTTTGTTTTGATGTAGCTATAGAATTTCTGCACTACCATTCTGTGCTTGTCACTCTCACATAATCGGTGACTGTGATCTTGCCGGTCTCCTGTACATATACTGAATGAAGTCAGAAAACAGAAATACCGGCAATGGAACCAACTTAGTACCCATCACGGAAAACAACATTTGAAATCAAAACTTACCACCATGCTATCCCAAATTATATGCATCCTTTCTTCAATACCTGGGATCAAGTAATGAAAAGAGAGATGCCTTAGCCAGCTTCCATTTGCAATGACACAACACAGTTTCCTTTGTTCAAGCCCTATGGCTTACCATTTACGCCATTGGGAATCTTCCTGAAATCATCAGAACCGAAAGCTTTCTGAGTGGAATTGAAGGTGCAATGATCAGTTCCCACAAGCTGCACAGGAACAAAGAACAGTTATGTGCTTATTCAAGGGATGTTTCTGTCTCCATACTAGACAATGTACAAACAATATGTTAGCAAATAATATTCCATTATTATTTATAGCCCCACAAATAATCTTCAACTGTATAAGCTAAACACCAGCTTGAAGCGCTTTACTTTAAGGACTCTGCAACTTTAAGCTTTAGGAAATTAAGGTGGGATTCTAGATTCAAGCGTGTCACCTGTAATATCCCTGATGAAAGAGCAGCTTGAAGCGCTTTATTATGCCCCGCTTCCCGGATTGGAGGACTCATCACATACCTAGAAGCATGATATGAAATAAGAGGAACCACTACATAAACATATACTGATTGTATGTGTTGTGTTTACTTTGAAGCAGTTGCGAAGTCAGGATCCCAAAGCCAAGAATCATCAAGGACTAGCCCAGATACCACAGGTTCACCAATGACTCTCTGGCCTGCAAAGTTCGAGTTTGCATCAACTTACAATTTGACACACACTGAAAATTTAAATCAACTCAGGTTTGGGGGTATGATGAATCCCATGGGACTACCCAGTTCTGAAGCCCCAACAAGTTATTTTGGTTCCTCAAAAAAGCAATAAGTTATTTTGGGAGCACCCAGTCCTGAATTTTGTGTGTGTTGGTATAAAACCGAAACCAGCCAATGTTTATGAAATTAAATGTTCATAAAAAAACTCTGGCTGTTTGCATGCATGAGGAACTAGTTTGAAATTTGAACTAAATGACCAGGCACCATACCTTCTCTTTTAGCCTTGGCAATCTCCTCCATTGCATCAGTGCTCATCACGTGAACAACATACAACGGTGTATTGACGAATTTTGCTAATCGAATTGCCCGTGAAGTTGCTTCGCCTTCCAACTGCAGAAAAGAAGAGAAACTTAATTGACTCATCACTACCTTCCTGTGAGAGGAAAGCACAAATTTCATGTTAAAGCTATCTCATCAAGGGACTTGAATTTTGTCAAAAAAAAAAACATGAACCCGTCAAGACAAAGGAATTACAACTGGAGGTCTTGAGAGAGCATGCCCTTCTGGACCAGTTATCCCAAGATCAATCATCCGCTGCTGTCCCTCAGCAACAGCATCCCCGTTCTCTGCATGAACCATAGCCAGTGCACCAAGAGACTTGCATTTCTGTAAGCCTTGAAGGAGGAGGTCGTCCGTCACCATCAATGAACCTTTATATGCCATGAAGAACTTGAAAGAATTGATCCCTGAAAATTTGGCACAGAGGATCTTCGTCATGTAACAATATGTAACAGAATAATCCAAGAATGCAGAAGAGAGTATGCACCCACCATGTTCCTTGACCATCACTTCCATTTCCCTTGAAACCTCATCATTCCACTTGGTAATGGCCATGTGAAATCCATAATCCATAGCAGATTTTTCTGCTTTGTGTTTGTAGGATTCCAAGCCTGCAGTCAAGTTTCCATTCACTGGAATGACAAAGTCAATGTGCATTGTCGTCCCACCAGCCAGGGCTGCTGCATGACCACTATAGAAGTCATCTATGGTTACAGTTCCCATGAACTCCATCTCCAGGTGGGTGTGCGGGTCAATTCCACCTGTGATATTCACCAGAAGCCTGATGAACCGATGATAAACCAGCAACGACTGAATTATCAGTATTCAGAACTATTGCAAGAAATCACCTGGCATGACATATTTTCCGGTTGCATCGATCACTTTGACATTATCGTCACCAACCTACAAGTGATATGATATGAGAACATAAGAGAATTAATTGGTAAGGTTGGACAGCAAAGGGAGGACATGATTTCCTCAGAACATTTCACTTCCAGCCAAAGGAAATCTAGCAAAAAAGAAAGAAAAATAAGGTCAACAGTCTAAATCTACCGTTACTGTCCCTGCAGATTCCCGTCGGTACTTTTCAAGTTTACCGTGAGATTTTTGTGGCGAAGCTAGCAGTGTCAGTTCGCCCTAAATAAGCAGCGGCAGCAGTCCCAAAGCACCCAAACTGGTATCGTACTCGTACAGGTGTGCGCAGCAGAGTGGCTCCTTGGTCTCAGAGTGGATCCCAAGATTCTGAAAGAACGAATCTCCCAGACGCAGAGCGAGAACTCACCGGGATGTTCGGCCGGACGGCGACGACGACGCCGTCCTCGATGTAGACGTCGGCCTCCTCCGCCCGGTGCGCGTTCACCATCGTCCCGCCCTTGATCAGGATCCTCGTGCCGTCCCCTCCTCCTCCGCAGCCGCCGGCGCCTCCTCCTCCTCCTCCCGCGGCCGCGCAGAACTTCACGCGCGCACCCAAAATCCAACCGCGTAAGAAGAAAACCAACCAAAGGCAATCAAACTAGAAACAAACATGAGACGACGCGGGGCGCCCACCTCGTGTGCCGGGTGAGACGCCGCGACGGCGACGGCGGCGAGCAGGACGAGCAGGCGGCGGATGCGGCAGGGCGTCGCCATGGCTCGGGCCGCCACTTTCCAACTCCTGCTAGCCGCGATTCGCTTGTCGCAAATCGCAGCAGAGTAGTAGTGGTGCTAGTTTGTTGGTTTGTTTCACGCCTTCTCCCTCTTTGACAGAGGAGCGTATCTTGTCTAACAGAAAAGCTCCGGATTGGCTGGTGCGGCCCCAATGTATCCGGATAATCTCCTTCACTCCACGGGCTGTTGACTTGCATAGCTCAGGCACCAATGGCAAATTCATCCGGGTCATTTTCACGGTGTGCCATAAGAGAGCCGATGATTCTGTGGATTGATTCTCTCAGACTCTGGCTGGAACAAAGTCCTGCATGTGCTTTAGACCAAGTTCACTAGTGAAAATAATAGAGTACTCCCTCTGTAAAGAAATATAGGAGTATTTAGATCTTATACTCCCTCCGTCGCATAATACAAGAACGTTTTTTACACTAATGTAGTATAAAAACGTTCTTACATTATGGGACGGAGGTAGTATTTCTTTACAGAGGGAGTATTTATCAGGGAGCATCCATCGAAGTGGCCAGTGGGCAGACAGGACACATGCAGCACAGGAGATGCTGCGTGCTGCAAGCTCAGCTAAGCCAGCAAAATCATAGGGCAGCAAGTAAGATGGGATCATGGCGCTTCTGCGTATCTCATAAAATCAGTCAATCAGCAGCATGAAGATAACAACAAACGCTGCATACTGGGGGGCAGCAAAATGCCTGGAGACGTGGACACTGAACCTGCTGCATCCGTTGAAGAACTTTCTCAGTCGCCTCCGCGCGGCCGCCTTGATCCGAAAAGGTGCCAGACAAGATCCTTCTTCTAGTAGTATTGCTATACCTTGGCGTAACCTCAAAAAACGCCGTAATAGCAGCTCTTCTTGTCATCTGCAGAACCGTGGATCTGTCAAGAAGATTCCAAACATGCCGATGATCATCCCTGATGTTGCCAAGTCAGGAGTGACCCCAAAGCACACTTGATCCCCACCTTAGGCCAAGCAGAAACCAGTCATCACTTCATCAAATAACTGCAAGAGATCTTTCTTTGTCAGCTCAGCTCATGGAGTGTGTTTTGCTTTGCATACACTCCAGGCCTCCAGCAATCTCCCCTTCCTTGGTAGCTTCACAGACATCACATTCTTCAGAATGGAGCACCAAAGGTGGTTACTATCTTCAGAGTTCCAATAAAGGCAGAAATTCACCTGAATCAAACAAGAAAATTACTAGTATAGTGATCATATCTTGGAAATACCAAATAGTCTTCAACTCTGATATTTATATATGAAAAATATTTAAGCCAAGTTTCAGCTAAATCAAACAACAAAGTTCTGGTATAGTGAATCGTATCTTGGGCAAGCCAAGTTTTGATGACGTAAACTTGGGCTTGAACCAAGCACACCCTAACACCTCCAGGCATCATATCCTGAAGCCTAGAGGAAACATTGATTTCCCTCAAAAAAAAAAACATTGATCAGCAGAATGTTTATTTTTTCACAGAAAGTGCCAAAAGTAAAACAACAGCAGCATCCCCATGAAAAGTTTTATGTATATCCATGGCAGTCATTTCGTTAAACAAATCGGATCTACAACTAAGATATTGAAGGAACACATCTTTGCACAAGGCATAAATAAGGCTATATATGTTTGGTTCCCATTATATTTGTATAAATTGACAACTGTGGAACGTACCTAAACATTTAGAAAAAGATCCTGCTTTTCCTATGGCGCAGCCAAATAATTTTTATTACATATTCCCGTGTTTTCAGTTCATATAGGATTTATTTAACATGCCATGACACCAAATTTCTGTATTTTCCATTCTTGTGTTGCATTTTTGAAATTTCGCAAACCAAAGAGGCCCTTAGAATTATAGAACTGCTCACTTGTTTTTCATTTTTGTTCAGTGTCACTTTGAAAGGAACCTCAATGATTAGGTCCTGTCACTCGCAGATAGTGAGGTGTGAAAGCCAAAAGTTAGGTACAGCATACACCATCCACCATCCACCACCAAAGGCTCTCTGTCCAAAGGAGCAGTTAAATATCTCCAAGCCAGGGGATGGTTCTTCTCCTGCTTATTTAATCGTTTGTGTTGAAGATGAGTCTCATGAACTGTACTGCACGACCATAAGCAGAACCTTCACCTAACATGACTAGGCATAGTTAACCAGAGAGACACGCTTGCAAAGTTCAAACTGAAATTTTCAGAAGACCTTTCTGGCTTGGTTTCACATGGAAGAGAATTCATCACTTGCTAGTTGCTACTGATGCCCAGGATAAGGAAAATGCATGGAAATGGCCAAGCACCATCGGGTGAACAAGTCAACACGTCCCCAAAAGCACATGGTCCTCAGTCCTCACCAGTGTCTACTCCTTTCAGCCTTTCTTCCCCTTCTGCCTTCTCACACAGTCAAACAACTGAAAAACAAGGAAACAAAGCTCCCATGGCAGCAGAGGCAATCTTAGGAGCCTTCATGCAAACCCTGTTCCAGAAATTGTCTGAAGCACTTCTCGACCACTTCAAATCTTGCAGGGGCATCCATAGCAAGCTGGAGAGCCTCTCCCAGATTCTCTCTCAGCTACAGGCCTTCCTCGACGACGCCGAGGCAAAGCAGCTGGCAGACGCGTCCGTGCGGGGGTGGCTAGCGAAGCTCAAGGACGTCGCATACGACCTGGATGATCTGCTCGACAGGTATACAGCCAAGATTATGTATCTGAAGAAGAGGAAGGTGAAACTCTCCACCAAGGCAAGTGTCGGTTCCCCTTCTTCCTTCCTGCATAGGAATCTGTACCAGTACAGGATAAAGCGTAAGATTAGCGGGATATTGGAGAGGTTGGATAAAATTGCAAGAGAACGCAACACGATTGGGCTCCAGATGTTGGGTGAAATGAGCAGGCGTGAGACGCCGGAGAGGCCACAGTCAAGCTCTCTTGTGGATAGTTCAGCTCTGTTTGGCAGGGAGGGAGACAGAGAGGAAATGGTGAGGCTCATGCTATCTGATAATGGGCACAGTTCCTGCAATGTTTGTGTTATTCCAGTTGTTGGCATGGGGGGGCTTGGTAAGACAACTCTTATGCAGATGGTGTACAATGATGACAGAGTGAAAGAACACTTTGAGTTGAGGATCTGGATCTATGTGTCTGAATGTTTTGACGGGAGAAAGCTAACGCAAGAAACTCTTGAGGCTGCTGCCTATGACCAATCCTTTCCTAGCACCAACATGAATATGCTACAGGAAACACTCTCTAGAGTGTTGCGGGGCAAGAGGTACTTGCTTGTCTTGGACGATGTTTGGAATGAAGACTATGATAAATGGCTCAGCTACAGAGCAGCCCTAATTTCAGGAGGGCTTGGAAGCAAGATAGTGGTTACAACACGCAATGAGAATGTTGGCAGAATCATGGGAGGGCTAGAGCCCTACAAGTTACAGCAACTATCGGATGATGACAGCTGGTCCGTATTCAAGAGCCATGCATTCAGGGATGGTGACTGCAGCACATACCCGCAGCTGGAGGTGATAGGAAGGCAAATTGTGAAGAAGCTAAAGGGATTGCCTCTCGCATCGAAAGCATTAGGGAGCCTCCTCTTCTGCAAAGCAGATGAAGAGGAGTGGAAGGGGATACTAAGAAGTGATATATGGGAGCTACCAGCAGACAAAAATAACATATTGCCAGCTCTGCGGCTAAGCTACAACCATTTACCACCACATCTGAAGCAGTGCTTTGCATTCTGTTCCGTGTATCCAAAAGATTATATATTCAGTAAAGAGAAGTTGGTTAAGATTTGGCTAGCACTTGGTTTCATCAGGCAATCTAGAAAGAAGATACCGGAGGATTCTGGTAATGCAGATTTTAATGAGCTAGTAAGCAGGTCTTTTTTCCAGCCCTACAAGGAGAACTATGTGATGCATGATGCAATGCATGACCTTGCTATATCAGTTTCCATGGAACACTGCGAGCGATTTGAGGATGGGACAAGATACAAAAATGCCATAAAGACCCGTCATCTTTCATTTCCATGCACCGGTGCCGGGACCAAGCATTTTGATCCACTGTATGGGTTTAGGAAGTTAAGAACACTAATTCTCATGCATGGATACAATTCTAAGATGTCTCGGTTCCCTGATGGTGTCTTTATGAAACTTCAATTCCTTAGAGTTCTTGATATGCATGGAAGAGGTCTTAAGGAATTACCAGAGTCTATAGGGAATCTGAAACAACTTCGCTTCCTAGATCTCAGCAGCACTGAAATAAAAACATTACCAGCATCTATTGTCAAGCTCTATAACTTGCAAATTATGAAGCTGAACAACTGCAGCTCACTAAGGGAAGTGCCACATGGCATCACTAAGCTCACTAATCTGCGCCACTTAGAGGGAAGCACAAGGCTACTGTCAAGGATACCAGGAATTGGAAATTTGATCTGCCTACAGGAATTAGAAGAATTTGTTGTCTTGAAGCGCCCCGGACACAACGTCACAGAGTTAAGAAACATGGATCAGCTGCAAGGAAAACTTACCATTCGTGGCCTCAACAATGTGGCTGATGAACAAGATGCAATTTGTGCGAAGTTGAAAACCAAAGAACATCTTCGAGCTCTACACTTTATATGGGATGAGGACTGCAAACTTACTCCTTCAGATCCACAAGACGAAGTTCTGGAAGGCCTTCAACCACATATCGATCTCAAGGAATTGATGGTTAAAGGTTTTCCAGGGGCGAGGTTCCCGAGCTGGCTTGCTACTTCATTTCTTCCTAATCTGCAAACCACACATATCTGCAACTGCAGATGCACAGTTCTCCCGCCATTAGGCCAACTTCCTTTCCTCAAAAATCTCAATATAGCAGGAGCAACTGAGGTGACACAAATTGGACGCGAGTTCACAGGACTTGGGCAAATAAAATGTTTTCCAGCATTAGAAGAGCTTCTGTTGGAAGATATGCCGAAGCTGGGAGAGTGGATTTTTTATGATGCTGATCAGTTGTTCCCTCAATTAACTGAAC